CTTCCATCAGCTGATTCACTCCCCAAGTGGCCACAAAATTGGATGAGAAGAGTAGCCAGGACTGGAACTATGGGATACTCCAATATGGGATGCTGGCTTTGCAAGCAGTAACTTAATTTCCCATGCCACAATGCTTTCCACTAGGATCATCTTCTTTTAAAATCTGTTCAATAATCAATGACATTAGTTCCAAAGACAGAAAGTCAATCCTTAGGTCAACAAATTATAGATTGCTTTCCATTTTCCAAATTCTTCTCTGACAGAAAATTAAACAAATGAAAGAGCACAGAGCTGTGACCCTAACTTCAGAGATAACTACAATTTCTTCATTTCAGGATTAGTTTTTAAGAACAGACCTATAGAAGTACTGTCATGTGAATGTCTGGATGGCCACTGAGAGTACACAGATGGTTCTTTTTGAAAGAAGTGAACAAAATACATAACATTTGAAAGTCAGAGAAGAAACCAAGCTCACGAATTTGGTCAATTACTATTTCTGTAATAAAAAGTGTAAATGTTTTTGCTGAACTTGAGAAACCTAGTCCACCCCTAGGCCAAGTTACTAGCAGGTTCACTTTGTTTGGTGTTACCATGATCTCTCAATTCTTTCGGTATCTAGTTCTTCATGTTACCCCCAGTCTGTATGCAGGGGTCACATTCTTCCTTTTGGTTCTACACATTGACATATGGAGGCTATCTGTAACAAACAGATCTGGTAATTCTATTTGCAGGAATAAGAAGGTTTTAAGAATGACAGATTTCTAAAAGGTTAAGCTGCAGCCTAGAGTGCAGGCATCTCACAGGGGTGCCAGCCAGAGGGCCCAGTTCTGATCCAACACCTTGTTCGTGCACCTGGGAAGGAAGCAGAGGATGGTCCAAATGCTTGGGTCCTTGCACCCAGGTTTTAGACACGGACGAACCTGTGGGCTCCTGGCTTCAGCCTGGTCCCACCCTGACACATGTAGCCATTTGGGAAATGGACCAGCAAGTGGAAGATTTCTATTTTCATCCCTCTCTTTGTAACACCGCCTCTCAAATGAATAAAATATCTTAAAAAAAAAACAACTTTTTTTTTAATTTGAAAGGCATATTCTACAGAAAGAGAAGGAGAGACAGGGAGAGAAGATATTTCATCTAATGGTTTGTTTCCCCAGTGGCTGCCACGGACAGAGCTGAGCTGATCAGAAGATTGGAGCCAAGAGCTTTTTTTCTGAATCACAGACATATGTGCAGAGTCCCAAGGACTTCTGCCACCCCCCATGGCTTTTCCAGATTATACGTACAGAGCATCTGGGACACAAACCAGCATCCATATGAGATGCTGGTGCCAAATGGTGGAGGATTATCTGTGCTGCAACACGGTGGTGGCCCCAGAACCACAGATTTTAAAACTCATGTGATGAAGCCTTATACACATTCTGAATTCTCAAAGAAATTTGCTTATATCCTGGTGTATTTTCCTAATGTGCTTGTGTATCATTAGAAGCAATTTTCCAGGAAAGATAATTTGTGTCCTGGAAGGGAAAATGGGCGGGAAATAAGGACAGAGTAGCGGTTACCCTCAAACCTGGATGGATTTCAATGTCAAAACTTATAAAATAAGTATCTAAGATCATCCTTAGGACTTTCCTCGCCCTGAAATTCTAGGTGCTCACTTATCTCTTGTGCTCTGAACATTAAAATTGAGCAGAATTTTCCATTCCTCAACTCTACCAGATATGAGAAAGTACTGTAGGCATTGAAACTCGTGAGTCAAAAAGAAAAACTTACGCGCTATCTCACACTGTCTTAATTTTTGATGATGTTAGAATAAGAATTATTGTGAGGATTCTGAGAAGGATGAGAAACAGAACAAGGCATACCTTGCAGATTTTGTATATCAGTACATTGCCGTTTGCCAGAAAAATGTTCTTGAAAGTTAAATCTTCCATTACATCATTTTTTATCACTTTATAATAAAATGTTCCAGTTGGCTTGCATGTCTGATGCTTTGCCTTGCTTCAGAGATAAACACATTGTCAAAGATTAGCCTAAAATTCCTATATATTTACACAAGTTCGAAGTTAAGAGAGTGACGCCACAGGAGAAGGTTAAGAAAAGATATTGTTATTTAAATACATTTATAAGGCAAGATTGGGAGCCTCGGATAATGAGATAATGATTCAAAAGCCATAGAATCCACGAGTAGAAACAGCCACAAAGTTTTGGAAAGTAAGGAAACAAGCTGTTAGCAATAAAATAAAATAAAAGAGCATTGTGGTATGCTGTGTTAAGCTACCACTTTTGAGGCTGTCATCCTATGGCAGTACTGGTTCAAAGTCCTGACTCATCCACTGCTGATCCAGCTCCCTGCAAGCACCCGGGAAAGCACCAGAATGGGGCTGAGTTGTGTATGTGAACCAGCTGGAAGCTCAGGATGGAGGTCCTGGCACCTGACTTTGCCATGGTCCAAATCTGACTGCTGCAGCCGTTTGGGGGTATGAATTGGCAAATGAAAGATCCTTCTACTCTCCTTTCTGTGACTCTGCTTTTCAAGTAAATATATTTTTAAAAATATCTGGAGAATTCTGTGTTACGTACATATTTGTAGATGTGAATCTCATTAAGTTCCTTTTACTCACTGACACTGGACACTGCTACCCAATGGGTTAGAGCGACCCTGCAAGCTGAAGGAAGAGCCTTATCCTTTCTCGTACTTAAAAACAAACTCAGCACTCACTTCTTTAAGTTTTGTTTTGTTTGCTAAGAGTTGAGTTCCTTCTCCAATGGCCTAAAACAGTTCATCAGAACCTAAATTTTAAGAAAAATCTATTTTTGGAAAGCATGAATGGTACTTGTAACTAGTGTTTCTGTAAGATTCAGGCAAGGAGGTTTTTAATGAAACTAAGACGTGTATTTCAATTTCACGTGTGAGATGTATTAGGGAGAGATACAACATAACAAGCGTGTAACTACACGTGCAACATTCCTAAGAGAGTTTTCATTTACTCAGACGATCACTCGACCTGTGCCGTTTGTCATTAGGAAGGTAAGCTCTTCTTAGTATGGTTCTCAAGGTTACTTTGAGCATCTCTGAATGGATTATGTGATTTCTGAAGACCTTTGCAAACTGAACATGCCCCACCACTCAGACAGAGTTGATTCATCTTATCAGGAATTGCGTTAGTAAAGCCTTGCTTTTCCTGTTCTTTAGAGAGAAGCATGTGTTTTCAATCCAGTTATGCGTTTTCCCACGGTAGCACTTTCAGAGACATATTATAATATTTGCCTCCAGGGGGCGTTAAATCTTCAGCGAAGCTCCAGTGTCTCTGGAAGGAACTCAATTCTAGTTAGCAATAGCAGGTAGCTTGACTTTCACTGGAACGAAATATCCTTGATTTCACAGGCTCATATCCTTGATTTCACATAGGGAAGTTATCTCAGCCCTGCAGACTAGACCTCACGGCTCTCAGGGTGGTGAATGTGGACCTGAAAACATCCAAAGCCCTGGAGGGTCTGCCAGGAGCTGAGCCCAGCTTCGTTCGTCAGAGACATGTGCCAGGCCTTGGATTGGCTGACCCTTGCTGTCTCCTCCGGTAAATCTTTTTTTAAGAGATCATTTTAGGGCTTTCCAAAGGGTATAATGTGATTCCTCAGGGTCCAAAAATAACCTCATATGGAAGAGGAACCCACTTTTCTGCAGAAGCTTATTAAGGGGTACCTTTGCCACTACTTCTGAGTGAAAACATGGGTGTCAGAGTGCTTGCAAGCCTGAGGAACTAACAACTTAGGAAGAGGCAACTCTATGAGCGCGAGGCACTTCTGTTTACTACCACAGAGGTATAAAGAGACCATTATATCTATGATGTTTGCTGTAAGCACTAGATTCCTGGATTAATTACTTGATTCCTGAATCTCTAACTCCGCATCCATGAAAGTGGTTCTAAGTATCAACTAAGACAATCCGAGAGAGCTCCTGGTAGAGTCAAGGCCCCCTCCTTGTTATTTAATAGAATAATTTATCTTATTCCCTCGTTTCCATTTGAGATCTCTGCCAAAACTGCTCCAGGCTTGCCTCTCACTTCTCCCCTGACAGAGACCTTCATCTCAAATACCTTCTTCTGTCTGGATCTCTCTGCTTCTTCTCTCTTCCTTCCACATGTTATCACCTCAAGGGAGTCCAGGCAAATTTCCAATAATATCTGTAATGACAACCTTAAAAGCTCCAAACACCACGACTTTGTACTCCATGAACCAAACGTGCTTTCCCTTACTATTAATGACAGAACATAGTACCTCAGTTGTGTGGCAGATTTATAGGTGCATTCATCATCTTTGAAGAGTTGCATAAATGTGTCCTTAATGTACATCCATTTAAACATGTTAAATTACACATCTAGCAGCCAATTCGGTAGGAACAAATGAAAAATTTCAGTCCTTAGAGACAGAAAGACATGACCAAAATTTAAGTTTAATAGTTCTATCTGGCAAATCCTTGAATCTTTCTGTTTCTCCTATATAAATAGGGTTGTTTTATGTGCAGTAAGGATTTAGAGACAAAGCAATAATATAACAAGGCTTCCACACAATTGCTGTTGCATAATTAAAGCTTTCTCTTCCAGCATAGCTATTTCTGTATTTTTCACACATCCCTGTCCATTGGATGACAGTATTGAGGTCAGAATATATGTATGATTCTTTTCTGTTCAATTTCATTCAGCACAAAGTGGAAACCCAATAAATATTTGGTCTTTATGGCTGAGCAAGACCCATTTTGTAAACAAATGTCCCATCTTACACCTGCTCAGGATGCCACACACCTGAGCTTGCTAAAGCTTGCTACTTTAAACTCTGACAGATATATGACTTGGTCAATAATTCAGCTATGCCTCCCTAGTGCACAGTAGCACGTAATAACACATTTTTCTTTACAATCATTCTTTAGAGTCATAAGGGTTATCTGCTTTTCTTTACAGCAAATAGAAGGAACAAATTATTTTCTTGATCAATAAGTCACTCTGTTTTCCATGGTTCAAAGTTAAGCTTTTATTTGGTTTTAAATTAAAAAAATAAATTTCATTATTAAATAGTGAGATGAATCTAGCTAATGTTCAGACAGTAGCTTACTCAAGAATATACCACTTAGGGGTCCAATAAAAGGAATGAACCATCTAAACTAAAAGAATTTGTTATGTTGTCATGTTTGTTAAAAGTTTAACAGTGGCAGAATTCAAAAGAAACCAAAATAGAAAGTTTCAATGTTTACAATGGATGAGAGAAGTAAACCACTTATTCTACTTTAGTTACAAACTACTTTCTTTCTCAGTGCCAGTCAGTTTGAACACTATACCACAGTGCTAATGTCATCAGGTTCATCTGCTTTCTTCTGCCTGCTTGGCAGGGATTTCAAGTATTCCAGGTGTCTCCGTGCATCCTCCTGGTTTTGCCTCACATAATATACCACGTATGAGATCACCATAGTGAACCAGCCAAACATGGTGACCAGCATGGCATAGTCAGTAGTTTTCTTAGGGAGGTTACAAAGGTCAGCATCATTGGCAGCGTTGAGGAACGGTCTTCCCGCATGCTCATCCAACACAGAGGTCTTACAGATCACATTGTGGGCTGTCTCGTGATTGGAGGCCATGCTCCTTAGAACCTGCTGCAGCGTGCAGTCACAGTGCCAGGGGTTGTTGGCAATTCTGGCCCTGGCCTTCAGGTTGTTGAAGGCATTTTTGTGCACGCTTTGAATCCTGTTGTCGGATAAGTCCAGACTCTGCAAGGTTTCAGCAACTCCTTTGAAGGCATGCTCATCGATAAATTCAATGCCATTTTTAGACAGGTTGAGAACTCTCAGTTGATGAAGGTCCTTGAAAATCTCATTGGGGATAGATGTGATCTGATTGGAGTCCAGGTATAATAAGACTGTCTCGGGGGGAAGATCTCTGGGTATTTCCTTGAGATTTGCATTGCTACAGGTGACATTTAAACCCCCAGAGGAAGAACAAAGACAGCCCTTGGGACACATACTGGCAGAATGAAAGCACAGTATCATAAGAACAAAACTTTGAAGGAGGAGACACATGGAGAGGGAGCGGGTTAACCACAGGTCTACCAGATTCATGCTGGAATGTCACCATAATCACAAGCCCATTCCTCATTGATTCCAACAAGTGTGGCAATGCTTCCAGCCCTGTCCACACTGTCGATTTCCTTCTTACGTGACTCAAAAGGCTGCAGTTAATACATGCGTCTCCTCATTACTCCTGTTCTTGCTTGGGCACCTAAAGAAAAGGGAAGCAGATGCAATTAGTTCTTTGCAAAGGGAGGTACACTGCAATTAAAAGAGCTTCCAGGCGTCTGGCATCCTAGGCAGGTAGGCAGGCTAGTTAGGCAGGTAATTTCCATCAAAGCCTTTGGGACTTGTGTGCGTAATAAGAGTCTCCTGTGCACATCCCTGGTGCTGCAAGTGAGGACTTTCTATAAATGACAACATTTCCGAATTCTGGTGCCTTGTCTCAGTTCGAGCAGAGTTCAAGCAAAGTGTCCCAATTTTCCTCACCTCCATTATTATTCTCCACAGTCTGGACCCCCTGAAAATTCTATAGCAATAGAATTCAATGACGTCTTTCACACCTTGCTACAATGGCAGTTCCATTCATGCAATTTAGCCCCGGAACTTGGGAAGAAATGAGAAATAATTCTAATATTTCATGGTTAATAACCATCAACAGGAGTGTCTGTCATGGCTTCGGAACTTGGAATAGTGGCACCAAAAATCATCTTATTCAGATGAGAACATGAATGAGTCATTGCAACCTTCACCAAAAAATGTTGCTGGGACTGACAAGCAAGAACCTTAAGAAGAGGGTCCTCCCATTGGACTCCTAAGGTTGCACTGCATACCCGAAGATGTTTTTATCTGAACTTTTTTTGGTGGTTAATTTTCTATTTGAATTTTGAATTATGTGGTACAATTTCATATAGGCTGGGACCCCCCAAACTCCCACCCCCTCCCTACAGATTTTCCCCATTTTACTACAATGGTGTAGTCCTTCATAAGGAATCATAATTTTATCAGTCTCTTACTTAAGTGTACCCCGACATTGTTGGTACAGACAATGTCAGACAGTCCAGCGTCTCATTGCCTACACATGTCCACCAGTTTCATTGTGAATCCATCTTTTGTTTGAAAACATATCTGAACTTTTAAAGGAGTCTGTTTTCTAAACAGCACATATCCCCTCCAAACAGAACTTTAAGTAAAAAATGACACACATTTATAAAACCATTTTGGTATGAAAAGATAATGAGAAAAGAAACCTCTAAGATACATTAGCCCAAGAATCTATATGCAATATAGATTTACCCAGTGATGAAAGGAACCCAGAAATTTTGAACTAAATTGATACAAGCAAGGCTATAAAGCTGACTCTGCAGCACAGAACAGAGATGAAAGTATTAAGTTAACCCTAAGAACTATTCATCAGGTTAGAAAGGCTAGACATTATCATTGGAATCAATTCATAGAGAAGACTAGTGGATTTCGGAGGGATTATGTGACTTACCCAAGGTCGAATAGACAGGACTGACGCGAAACCCTTTGTTCTGATTCATTAATCTCTCAATCCATTTCACTACCTCTACAGTTTTCCCCCCAACCCATCTGCTCTGTGTGACCAGTGAGCAATTGGTGAGCTTCACTGGTTGTGATTTCTAGTGCTGTGAGGTTGCATTCTAATCCCGGGAGCTATGAATCTTGGACCTCAGCAGAGATGGCCTTCTGCACTGGGGGAGGGAAACCAAGCCTGATTTCAGAAGATCCTACCCTCCCCCAGGATCTGAGGAACAAGAAGAGCATTAGCTTCTCGTACATTCAACCACTGAATTTCTGCATGAACAAATGACTTTGCAAACTTATCTTTTATAATGATCCCAGATGGATAAATACAGAGGAAAATGACTCCAAATGTTACCAAACTCACAGAAGAGATGATTAATGTGAACTGAAAACATAATGAACTGGGTTGTTAATCATGGAAAAAATAAGATTAGCAACAACAGACTGGAGTAGACGTACTTTTGGAATCCAAGTCCCTTAAATGCTAGAGAATGTTAGAGAAGGGCCCCAAGGCTTGCAAAGCCATCTATCAACAGCTCATTTCATTTGCAGGGAAAGTGTCCCTCCCTTTTATGTCTGTCTTTAGCACTGCACTAGATGGTATTTGGGGCTTCCAGTAATTATGCAGATGGGAGAGAGAGAGAAAAAAACAATAAAACAGATGAACTAGGGAGAAAGCTCAGGGAAGAGAGAAGGGGAACAGAAAGCAAGACAAAAAATATTGAAAGAAAACGTGAGAAGGGCAGAGGAGAAGGGAGGCTTGAATGTGAACAGCGAAAATAAGCAAAAGGCAACCCAGCAATTCCCTATTAACCAAGCCTGAACCTACTGAAAAGTAAGAAGCTTCCCTATCATATTTCTGCTGACATTGATTGACAAATTGATTGATCGCTTGAAGTGATTTTTTAAAGATTTATTTTTTTTTCTATTGCAAAGTCAGATATACAGAGAGGAGGAGAGACAGAGAGGAAGAACTTCCATCCAATGATTCACTCCCCAAGTGACTGCAATGGCTGGTGCTGTGCTGATCCGAAGCCAGGAGTCAGGAGCCAGGAGCTTCATTCTGGTTTCCTACATGGGTGCAGGGTCCCAAAGCTTTGGACCATCCTCAACTGCTCTTCCAGGCCACAAGCAGAGAACTGGATGGGAAGCAGGGCTACCGAATTAGATCCGGCACCCATATGGGATCCCAGACATGTCCAAGCTGAGGACTTTAGATGCTAGGTCACCTCGCTGGGCCACTTAGAGCTCTTTTGAAAACAAGATATACTTGTTTTTATTTGAAAGGCAGAGTAACAGAGAAGAGAAAAAGAGAAATATCTGTGATGCATTGGTTCATTCCTGAACTGGCCACGATAGCTACAGCTGAGTTGATCCAAAGCCCGATTGTGCAGAAGGCAGAAGCGTCCTTCAGGCATCTTACGTGAGTATAGGGAACAAGGTTTTGGGTCCTCCCCCACTAGCCTGCCCTGACCAGGAACTGGATCAGAAGTGGGGCAGCTGGGATATGAAATGGTGCCCATACAGAATGCCGGTGTTTACTGGCTGAGGGAGGATTAGCCAGTTGAGTCATCACACAGACTCTCCAAGTGATCTTCAATTCAGATTATAATCTGCTTGAAGGCAAGGGCTAGACTCTGCTTCAGGTAGAAAGAATAGTAAATAATTAAACGAAGAGAATAGTCAGTAACTTGTATCTCAGTTTTGTTAGTAATGTGCATTCTCTCTGAATCTCATTTTCTTTATCTTCATACAGATTAGAAAAGCACTTAATTAAACAATTGATTAGAGAATTACATGAGATGATCCACATGAAGTCCTTAGTGCAGTGCCTTGTAAGTGGTGTAAGCTCAATACTTGTCAGCCCTATTGATTAGGATTACTTCCAGATACATCAGCAGCATGTGGCATAGGGCTTGGCATATGGTAAGGGGCTAAATAGGTATCAATTATGTTGATAAAATAATGAAACTTCAAGTGTTGGGTTATAATTTTGATTCTCTACTGTGATAGGTATGATTATTTTGAGGTGGGCATTTGTTGAAGTGGTTGGAAGATACACGTTCCATCCTGGAGTAATTTGCTTGAGTCTGGCCCCATTATTTCCACTCAGTTTCTTTTTAATGCACATTCCGGGAGTCAGCACATGAGGGCTCACGTACTTGAATCCCTGCCACTCATGTGGGAGACTTGACTGGAATCCCAAGCTCCCGGCTTCAGGCTGGTCCAGCCTCAGCCTTTGTGAGCCTTGCAGTGTGAATCGGCAGATGGAAGATCTCTCTTTGTCCATCTCTGTCTTTCTCTGTATCTCTGCATTTCTAACAAAATGAAAACAAGTAACACAAAATCAAACTAAATAAGACATGTCAGATGTGTACAGGTTTGGCATGTCAATATGCCAGGCTTTGGAAATGTCATAAGGACAGGCTCCTAGAAAATAGAAGAAAAAAATGAATTCTTTCATTTCAGGGTTTCACACAGAAAGTGATTAGGAACCAGCTTGAGTTCTCACTATGAGAGTATAAGGCCTCTCTACCATTCTCCAAATGGTCCTCCCACACGCTAGATGGGATGTTGCTCCAAGTCCAGACGTAGAATATCCATTGCATTCAAGAAGACTGGGACTCAACCTAAATATTTCATTTCCCCTCTGTGCTGTTTGATAAGAGGAATAAAACATCCTGGGAAAGGTTAGATTGCTAGAGCAGTGACGTTTGTCCTTTAATGCCTTGTCCTTTAGTAAGGATGACGTTCAGGCAGTGCAGGATTGTGCAGAGCGTAGCCACATAGACTCATATATGGAAACTGAATCCCCCAATGTGAGGATATTTGGAAATGAGGCCTTTGGTGGAGGTGAATAGGTCATAACAACAGAGCAGGAGTGGGATTAGAGCACTTGTAAGGAATACACAGGAAGCCAGCATTGTGGCAAAGCAGATAAAACACCACCTGCTATGCTGACATCCTGCTATGCTGGTTCAAGTTCCAGGTGCTTCAGCTCTAATTCAGCTCTATGCTGTTTCCTGGGGGGAAAATGTGGGAATATGGGCCAATTCCTGAGAGTTCCTATATTGACATAGGAGATCGAGAAGAAACTCCTGACCTTCTAGATTCATTCTGGACCAGGGTTGGCTACTGTGGAGAATGAGAGAGCTGTCTCCCTTGCTTGACACTGTCTTTGTGGAATGGCTAAGAGTGAATAAAGGAAGACATGAGGAGAGAGACACCTCAGATGGGAAAAAGGTTGACATTCCTCCGACTAGTTATCATCCAGCAAAGCAGAGTACTCAACCAAGTGTTCAAACCTCAGACTACATTCTGCTTTGTTTCCAACCACATCTCTGGCATAAACCCCAAAAGGCAAATAAACTATATTTCTGAGAAAGAGATTCCTGGTAAGAACTTCCAAATGAATGAGGAAACATAAAAAAGGATCAGCAGCATGTTGGTGAAAATAAGAGCAGCCAAAGCAGTCACTGCTTGTGCTTGTAACAAGGAACCAGTTTCTCTAAAGGGATGGATGGAGTTAGGCAATAATATTTGTCTCTCCCAACACCCCGCCCTCTGCAATTCTGAACTCACAGGACACCCGATCCTTACCACTCAGACCCTTCAAATATGTCTGGGTAAAGCAAGAGTAATGACATTGCTGAATGTGGTATT